GAGCCCGGCCTTCCCCCCACCGCACCCCGAGCCCGGCCTTCCCCGCACCGCACCCGAGCCCGGCCTTCCCCCCACCGCACCCCGAGCCCGGCCTTCCCCCCACCGCACCCCGAGCCCGGCCTTCCCCCCACCCCCGCACCCGGCGCCCAAGCCCGCAGTGGCATCTTTGCTTCCTTTAAGGCGGGGAGGAAACGCGGGCACGTCGGTTCAGAGGCAGCTGCTGAGCCGGTCACCGGATGACTAGTTCTCCCATCGCCTTGAGTTTAGGCCACTCTTTTCCACAAAAGCTCCGTTTCTGTAAAAGCCAGATGTGAAGATCTGTTAGCACGGTGGCTCTTTAATGAAGGATCACATCTCTCTTTGTGGGCAGACGATTGATGTTCACCACCACTCCAGAGGCTCGGTTTTTAATAGGGTGTTTAAGATTGTCTGCAATTTGCTTAACCTAAAACACACCTCTGCGGGGGAACAGCACAACTTTCTCCTCCCCAGCAGGGTGTGTGGGGCTTGTAAGGTTATTTGTATTTGCATTCTTGTGCTGTTTGTAAAGAAAAGAGCCATTTCCTTATTTTAAGAGGTGTGTATAAACAGGTGAATGCAAAAATAACAATGAAATTAAAATAGTTACTAAATGACATCTTGATATCCAGCACAAAACTCCAGATTTCTTTTTAAAAGGACAACTCCATTGTTGTTAACACTTCCATAAAGCAAGCCTTTTGGCAATTTCCCACAAAAGGCATTCTTGTTTGCCAAGATTTGCCTAGAGTCAAGCTACTCAGATATTAAGTCTGTGTTCTTATTTTCCTGCCTCCTGTGGGCCTCTGTACCAAAACCAAAGGCAAAACATTTGGTTTCTATTTGTACATACTAGAATTTCTCCTAGGAATGAAGTTTCCAAACACACTGTGTCAGGACTGGAAGCGAGTGTTGTTTTAGAACAGCTTTCCCTGACAGCCCCATTTCTGCAAACACATCTGAGCAGAAAGAATCATTTCTGTTAGTTAACATTTTTGATCCAGAAAATTAAAAACAAATATTTAACTTCCCAATTTAGAATTCGGGCGGGCATGGACGGCTAAACTTTTACAATGCATAATCAATGAATTAAACACAATCTTTACTAACCAAATAAAACCACTCTTCCTGAGGCTCACAACTAAGTTTGGATAAACTGAAGGATAAATAAAATGCATGAGAAAGCCCATGGAGGAGACCAAGGAGTTTGAACTTGGCCAAGAGACAGCTTTTGGACTCTGCTCAATTCACAGGTTTTGAGGCACCTGTAATAAAGCTATATTTAGAGAAGACAAATGACTAATTAAATATATGTATGTATGACAAACATGTTTAACGTGTTTGTTTGTTCTCTCTCCAGACTACTTTCTATACCCAGCCATTAGGAATGGCTTTCTCTATTTCTCATCCCAAATGGGGAACATTTCAAAAGCTTCCCAGCCTCCTTTTTTATTTCCCACTCCCCACTCACACCTGATCCAGGGTTTCCTTCCCAATTGTGTCTGGGTCTATCCTCCCCCCATCGCAACAGACAAGTTAGAAACTGGAGCTAGAATCCCGTGGCTCACTAGATCGCCAGGGGCTCTGCAAAGCAAGGCTTTTTCTGATGTGGCGGCCATGCCTAAGTGCCTAGCCCACGGAACTAACATTCGTTGTAGTCTTGTCCTGGGATACAGCTGGTGGGGCTTTGTGAAAACTAGGTTCCGTTGGGCTCCTGAGCACGGGTGCGGAATTCCTGCGAAGTATCTTCAAATACTCTCTCCCTCCCTTGCAGGGACACAATACACCTTCAAAATTCCTCTCCCCAAACAAAAACAAATCCACCAAAGCTTCCCAGGGGCAGGCAGTCCCTGCCACTACACCTCTGCAGATGTATGTTTGACTGTAGCGCTGTCCCTACTCCAGATGGAGCCCTGGCAGCCCTGGTACTTCTCATACCAAGTCCAGACTCCTGGGCGAGCTTGGCATAAGCTGGAGCCTGGGAGTCTCCTTTCCAACAAAGGCACAGTACAGTGGGGAGGGTCCACTGTACTGGGAGGGATGAGAAGGCCTAGTTCTGAAAGAGAAGTAGGATCTGGAAGTTTTCTAGCTTCACCCTGGATTTCCCAAATTAAAAAACCAAACAAAAACACGACGCTTTCCTTCCTCGGTAAGTCTCTCCATCGGTACGTCTCTCCATCGGTACGTCTCTCCATCGGTATGTCTCTCCAGTGTTGTGGAGAAGACAGTGGCCGTGCCTGTTTCTTCTGTGGCTACATTTCAGTGTTTCTGGTTTCTTCCTTGCCTGGAGCTTCTCAAGACATGAGCAGTGCCACTCACAGGCTACAGAATAACAGGACTCCTTGAATACACCTTGTATCTGCCATGGAGCCTGGAAACCAGCAGAGAAAACCCAAGGAAAGGGTTGCCTGGTGTGTGCACGAGCGGTTTGTACACATCTGGTGTGGGACACTGCTGTTAAGTGCTCCTCCTGGGTTGTTTTCTCCCACCCTTGAACTGAGGCCAGAACTGGGGGCTTGGATCTTTAGCTTTTTCACTCAAAGTTGGTACTCTACCACTTGAACCACAGCTCTGCTTCTGTTCTTTTTGTGATGGCTAATTGGAGAAATAAGAGTCTCGCTGATTTTCCTGGCTTTGAACTAAGTCTCGCTGATTTTCCTGGCTTTGAACTCTTATCTTTAGCCTCCTGTGTGGCTAGGGTGACTGGTATGTGTCGCCAGTGCTCCTCTCTTTTCTTCTCTTCATGTTGCCTTGTGTGAGGACCCTTCTCCCCCAGAGTGAGCACACGGCCCAGCGACACAAGGCAGGGGAGGAAGTTCAGCTACAGCTGGACGGAGCCCAGCGTGCACAGCCCACCCGCTGGCCCCCGCAGTAAAGAGGTCACTTTTGGGGACTCAGATATGATGCCCTCAGAACAGACAGCAAAACTCACTGAAGATCTCCTAGCTCTAATCTGGGAGAGGAGGGGGCAGGAGGGACAGGCATGCAGGTGTCTTAAGAAAACAAATAAGTTTTAAGGTTGTATGTACTAAATACCCGCCAAAACATATAGTTTAGACCAAAGAGATTGGTGATCTTTTCCTACCTCTGAGAATATAATAGATTCCTGAGCTCCACAACCTAGCAAGGAGCTAGATTATTGATTAGTTTTTAAAGAGGCACCCAGGCATGAATTCACAGACCAAGCCATTAAAACCTGGACTCAGCCAGATTTGGCTTTACAAAACGTCTATTGCTTCTACATATGCATATCCAGGTTAAACATAGAAAAGGAAAAGAGTAAGTTTGAATTTTTTTTAAAGCCTTGACTTTCCTTTTACCAGATTAGTCAAAATGGAAGTGTAGATGTCTCAAATTTACCTAATTCTGTCACCCAGAAAGAGCTGTAGAAACACTCCACCCCAGAATTCTCTGGAACAAGACCATGGGCAGCAGTCTCTATGTGGTAGATAAAAAATCACCCAAACATCTGCTGCCTTCTCTGAGCTGGAAGCAGCCCTCAGCCCTGCACCTCTCTAGTTTCCCTAGAAGATGACCCCAACAGTCTTTTGGGGGACACCTGTGTCCATTTGCAGAAAATGTTATGACTTCCTCACCAGTGCTATCCCAGAATATGCTAGGTGCACGCACAACCGAGAAGGGAAACAGAACTCTCCAGCCCTTTTCTTCCTTAGTAATCTCCCCAAAGGGGAAAGTGATCAAATAACATTTTCTTTTCCCTTGCCCTTCTCTCCACTTCTGTAAACCAACATTTTCATTCTCAGCAAAAACATTTTGGATGGGAGTCCATCCCCTCTGGCTTTTTGTCTGTGGTTTAGCCTGAAAAGGTCTTTCAGAAATGCCACAGACAGTTAGACTCAATAACTTCCAAATGGTCCATGAACCGTCCCTGGCTACCCAGGGAACTGCAGCCCTCTGCCCCCACAGTTAATTGCTAAATGATGTGCAAACTTAAACAATTATAAATTCTCTTTTGCCTTGCCCCAAAGAAATTGTGTTAATTTACGATATACACAAGAGCCTGATTAACAAATGGAGACAAAATTTACATGTAGCAAAAGGCAATACAGATATATTTTTTTAAAAAGCAATCAAAAGCGGATGGGGGGTGATTCTTTCCTCCCATGATTTAGTGGTCTGTGATCCTTGTTCATGAGTTTTTAACTTCCGGCTTTGCCAGGATATTTAAAAAATGAATCGATTTGTAGTCATGTCTGCGGCGCCTGTGGGCAGACACCTCAGCCGCCGGAGCAGGGTGCCCTTGCATCAAAGCAACGCCAGGGGGCAAAAAGCGTTAACAAAGGCAGGCGTTCAGTGCTCTGCCTTTATCTGCCCGTGCGTGTCACACTTTACAGGGCAAAATGTCATTTTGCAAGGTTATACGTTTGCAATTCCACACAGACCCTTATCGCTCATCGTTTACCTCTTGGGCACAAACAAACAGCCTCTTTCAATAAAGCCAGAGAAGGGAAGCATATACCTTTGTACAATTAAAATTGCAAAAAAAGAAAAGAAAAAAGAAAAAGCCAAAAATGTACTGAGCGTTGCTGTTAATCCGACTTACCTTGCTGATACTTTGGCCTAATCCTATTTTCTCTTCGACTTAGGACGCTTCTGCATGGCCATGTTTTGTTCTTCGGGAGGATGGTTTACCATCTGAAGGGGTGAGGGATGGAGAAACCCCTGGCCACGAACGGTGGGCACAGGGTGTCCTCCGGCTGCCCTCCCAGCCCCGGGCACTCAGAGATCCCCAGAGCAGAGGCTGCCGGGTGGCGAGACAGAAAGCAAACTAAATCACTCAAGGGAAACTTGGCTGGAGACAAAACACATTCAATTTCCTGATGACTCTGCTTGCTCTCCCAAATTATTTGCTTTCGCAGAGGCACATTAAACAAATTAAACACTAAAAATGGAACTTCCTTTGTTCTCTGGCTTAGAAAATAGCTTTTTCCCCTTTGAAAAGGATATTGTAATCATAATAAAAATGAAAGAAAACAATAACACTCCATGTTTTTAAAACAAATTCATTCTGGCACCCCAGATCCTCCGGGCAAAGTCCGGACAATGGGACCTGTGTTCGGGCGCCGCGCCGGGCACCGGGTCGGGAGGGTTCCTCGCGCTCCTGGGGACATCCTTCACACCTTCCCCTCCCCAAAGCCGAGCCGGTGACTGAAGGGTGGTCAGCCCGGCTCCCCTTCCAGAAAGGTCTCGAGAGATGGGACTGGAGGCTGGGGCGAGGAGCACCGGGCACGGAGTCGACGCCCGCTCCCGTTGAATTTAGGGCTGGTGGCGGGCGCACCCCGCGGCCCTCCCGGCCCCTCCCGTATCCGCTCCCTTTGAAATGTCGTGAACTTGGCGCTTTCAGGCCGGGACAATGGGGTTGTCAGAGGGCCAGCGCCGGCTTTTTCTGCGTGCTCACGGAGCGTGAAGCCTTTATCCCCCAGAAGGGCTCCGCCGACCGGGCCGGACAAAGGCCAGCCTCCGCCTTCCGCTCCGAGGGGATCTGGGCGGGTCCGGTACAGTAGCGCGCGGCCCGCGGGGAGGGGCGAGGCTGCGGGGCACGGCGGGCAGGGGCGGGGGCCCTGGTTCCGT